GAGTACTCCTTGCCATTGTAGGTGTAAGTATCCTTGCTGGACTCGTGCTTGCCCTTCGGCGGCTTGCCAGAGGCTTCACCGACGTCAGCCATTGGGAATGTAACTCAGTAACTATTCGATGAGTCCTCAGACAGCTTCACCTAAAGTTTCTCAGGACCACCTAAGGTCTCTGCTAAGGTTTCGGAGCTGCCGTACATCTAAGGCGCCAAAAAAGGCCATCTAATATCTATAGATATTAGCTAGGTTTAGTTTCTAAAGGTTCTCATAAAAGTTAAGAAGTTTAGTCTTAGATGACTTCCAACCCTACTCCTGAACCACCTTGCCACCGGAGGGTACCCTCCTGTACCACCCTGCCACCGGAGGATACCCTCCTGTACCACCTTGCCACCGGAGGGTACCCTCCTGTACCACCCTGCCACCGGAGGGTACCCTCCTGTACCACCTTGCCACCGGAGGGTACCCTCCTGTACCACCTTGCCACTGGAGGGTACCCTCCTGTACCACCTTGCCACTGGAGGATACCCTCCTGTACCACCCTGCCACCGGAGGATACCCTCCTGTACCACCCTGCCACCGGAGGGTACCCTCCTGTACCACCCTGCCACTGGAGGGTACCCTTCTGTACCACCCTGCCACCGGAGGGTACCCTCCTGTACCACCTTGCCACCGGAGGGTACCCTCCTGTACCACCTTGCCGCCGGAGGGTACCCTGCTGTACCACCCTGCCATCGGAGGGTACCCTCCTGTACCACCTTGCCACCGGAGGGTACCCTCCTGTACCACCCTGCCACCGGAGGGTACCCTCCAGTACCACCTTGCCACTGGAGGGTACCCTCCTGTACCACCCTGCCACCGGAGGATACCCTCCTGTACCACCCTGCCACCGGAGGGTACCCTCCTGTACCACCTTGCCACTGGAGAATACCCTCCTGTACCACCTTGCCACTGGAGGATACCCTCCTGTACCACCTTGCCACCCGAGAGTACCCTCCTGTACCACCCTGCCACCGGAGAGTACCCTCCTGTACCACCCTGCCACCGGAGAGTACCCTCCTGTACCGGGCTTCTGCTTCCGGGCATACCCTTCCAGAAGGGGTAAAAGAATGCCTAGTTAAGCCCCCCTCTCCATTTTTGGCCCATAACCTTTCTGGTAGCCATCAAACAGGTCCTTTTGAAATCACCAACTGATGTAGTTTTCAGAGTACCCTCCTGTACCACCCTGCCACCAGAGAGTACCCTCTTGTACCACTCTGCCACCGGAGAGTATCCTCCTGTACATGTACCACCTTGCCTCCGGAGGGTACCCTCCTGTACCACCCTGCCACCAGAGAGTACCCTCCTGTACCACCCTGCCACCGGAGGGTACCCTCCAGTACCACCTTGCCACTGGAGGGTACCCTCCTGTACCACCCTGCCACCGGAGGGTACCCTCCAGTACCACCCTGCCACCGGAGGGTACCCTCCTGTACCACCTTGCCACCGGAGGGTACCCTCCTGTACCACCTTGCCACCGGAGGGTACCCTCCTGTACCACCCTGCCATCGGAGGATACCCTCCTGTACCACCTTGCCACCGGAGGGTACCCTCCTGTACCACCTTGCCACCAGAGGATACCCTCCTGTACCAACCTGCCACCGGAGGATACACCGACAGTATCCTAGCACGGCAGGAACGTAGTAGGGAATCTCCGGCAGGTAGGCCGAGATGTAAGCTACCTGGGTGGGGTGCCATGGTGAGGCACTTAAGTATCATGACTACTTGGTGTTCAGAGTTCAAGACTCCGCTGCCGCTGTCTCGGATTGTTTCGTACGGGTCTATGTATGCTAGTGCTTGTTGCTGGGTTGGACTTCTCCCTGCCTCAGCGAGGACTCTAAATTCCACGCTTCCGCAAAGCCAGTAGTCCGCCCAGGTGAGCGACTGCTACAGTTTCAGTAGCCCCAAACTCTTCTTGTGGGGGCTTGTAGAAAACACATGAGTCTGCCAGCCTCTCCATGGCAAGCAAGGATGCTTCCATTTGGATTCAGCTAAACATGGCAGTGGCCTCGGGGCGCCTCTTGTTTTTCATGCAGCTGCAGCAGCCAGGGATGGTGTTGGGCAGTGGGCTGCAGCAGGTATGTGGCCATGTCAGGCTGCACGCCAGGTTTTTGTACAGGGGCCAGGGCTGATAGCTGAGTTGCTGAACAGGTGTTGAGTTGTTTGTCGTACACGCACATATGTTCGTGTACGGCACTTGGCGCAGCTCATAGTATACGCACACGTTTTAGAATAGATACAGAACCTTTGGAGGCTGTGACAACAATTTAAGTTGAGGTGTCGTTTATTACAGCATAGGTTTAGGGAAACATTATAGTATAATAGTATCGCAGTCTTAGGTTCGATTCCAATACAATACGCGAGATGGATTTCAATGTAAGAATAACCTACATGTGGATACCCTAATAAAGGGCGCCTACCAATAGAGGTGCATGTGAGAATGCAGAGGTCGAAACGTGTGTTTGAATTTTCATCATGACCCTTAAGAATCCCACATTTTTTAAGGCTTAAGAATGTAAGCAGCAAAAAGAATTTCCTGAGAATATGACTTAAGAATGAGTGCCATACTTAGCGAACCTATGGTAAGAACGGTTAAAACCGGCCAAAGAGCAGCTAAGTATGCTTTAGGCAAAGAATGAATAAGTTGGCCTAAGAATGTATAAGAACACCCCAAAGAACGAAAAGAATACATAAGACTGCTGGCCCTAAAGAATGCTAAAGAATGGTAAAGAGTGGTTTTATTTCTTAAGAATGAGACTTAAGAACGAGTGCCATACTTAGCAACCCTATGATAAGAATGGTTAAAACCGGCCAAAGAGCAGCTAAGTATGCTTTAACACTAAGTTGGTCTAAGAACGAATAAGAACACCCCATAGAATGGAAGAGAATACCTAAGACTGCTGGGCCCCAAAGAATGCTAAAGAATTTCAAAGAATGGTTTTAAGATAAACGGATGCCTTACGAACGTTCTTAGAACGTTCTTAGAACGGTGTAAGAACGTTCTAATGGTTATTCAATTTTATCAATTTGGCTGGGCTAAGAACGAGTTAAGAACGTTCTTAACCCCCCTCCGTGTTTGTAGGGACAAGTACAACTATCCCGGAGCATGGACGTGGCTGGACGGTGACGACCCAATTAGGCTGCCTGCCAGTGTGCTGAACCCCATCTCAGATGCCACAGGACAGTCTATCACAAGGACAGCCAATGAGCCTCTGCCAGCAGTACGGACAAAGGTGGAGCTCGTGGCCATGACTCCGGTAGGGACCAATGTTTGTTGTGCACAGGATAACACATGTAAATAACTTTGGACACTGCCAATGCAGGTGCCCACCCATGGTGGCGAGGTGGAATCTGCACCAGTAAGTATGGGGTGTTACAATGGAGGGAAAGAATGGGTGGCGGACCTACCAGTATCCAGTGTTCCCGTCATTATGCACTATAACCCTGCACCAGACAACTCCTGCAGCATTCACGTCTGCAATCGCCTTTGTCATGCAGGCGCTGCACCACCTTGCCCTGTTGGACCTCGACCACTTCAACACGGACCTGGGCCTCCACTACGACTCCATGCATACGCTAGCCAACAGCTCGCGTGATCTTTTCAAGCTTGCCATGGGTGGCGCCCGGGTGACTGATGCCGTCCGCCAGTGAGTATGTCCAGAACCGTGAGTTGCTTTGCAGTGCAGTGAAGTGAGACCGTCGGTTGGGTGACACAGCAAGGCTACCTTAACAAAATTCATTTGCCGGCTGTGCACATCACTCTTGCAGGCATGAGCTCAACGTCAACAGACGGACGTGGGAGGGGACGCCATGGTTGACACCCAGCATTGATCGGATGGCCTCAGCTGTGGGATCGGTGGCAGCAGTCATCCCCTCAAGGGACGGTGGCGGATCACGCCTGCGCAGCCTCTTCAAGCCTGGAAAGAGTGTGAAGATGCACACATGGTGCTTTCTTGCTAGCCCATATGGAGCCTACATCTTTGGCCACGCCACTGGAATCGGTTCTCCTCAGCTTGAGGTGATGCTGCAGCTGCTCTGCAGCGTGTCCTTCCTGATGGACAAGGCCGTGCCGCGGGAGGACTGCTTGCCAATCCTCCATGGTGTCGCTCGTGCCGTGACACTGATGGAGATTCACCTGCCTTCCTGCAAACTAGACATGAAGTTGCATCAGCTGCTGCACCTCACGGAGTGAATTGAACACCTTGGGCCAAGTTTCACAACCGTGATGTGGGGCTACGAATCACTGTGGAACCATTTGGTGAAGCTGATGAAGAACAAGCAGTACCCCGAGGCTACCTGTATGCGCAGCTGGATACATAAGGAGTCGGTGATTCTAGCTGCTGAGAGGTTACCCGAGGGCCTCTGCACTTTTGAACCCCCACAGGACACCGTGTCCGCTGGAAAGTTGACCCATCAGCAGAAGGCATATTGGACGGTCACTAATTCCACCGGCCCCAGCGTTGACACTATCTCCGGAAACGCTGCAATAGGATTTAAGCAGGCACGGTGTGAGACCCTTCCGGAAGGCTTCCTCCTGGAGATGCATGAGACTTACCTGCACCACAGCACCGACTACTCTGATTTATTTGGTGTTTTCACCGCCTGGCTGTGGGAGCAGTGGACTGATGACACGACCCCGGGGCCATTCCTGTCCGACTATCTTTCACACCTGAGGCTAAGGACCCATTCAAGAAGGACGCTGTTGCACCGGGACAGCCATGGCTCTGTGTCCATGCGGAGCAAGGTGTGAAACCTGGTGTGACTGCCCTGTGATGCATGCCTGTCTTCATCGCTACAACTTGGTAAATACACTCACCACCTTGAGCGACCATGCTGTACCTATCTGCTGGTGTGCCTCTTGCCTGCATCTGTAGGTGCTTGCCAAGTGCTGCCTCAGTGAGCTGTGGTGTCAAGATGTGTGGGTGCAGCCGGGTTTGCTGTTGGGGTCAAAGCCGGTCAGTGGTATACATCTCGCAGGCAGGTTCTTGGAGAAGCTCGTGGCCATCAAGTTCAACAACAACGTGGAACTCACTGCATTCGATAGCAACAAGCCTAAGACATCACAGGCCTGCTGGTTCATCACCCGGAGATGCAACTCCAGCGACAAAATGTGGGCGGGGAAGGTGCTGGGCTTGTACCGCTACAGGTCACCATTGAACAGGGATAAGTTCGATGTGGTGCTGGAGGTCGAATGGCATGCTCCCCTGCTAGGGAACAACAGTGATGCCGAAGTTGCAGTCGACCAGTTCATGAATGTCCCCTTGGTGGATGCCAGGGCTGCCAGTGTGTCCAACACAGGCTCTCGTTACTACCTGGCTGAGGATGTTGCGCCTTGCCGGGTGCACATCTTGCCACACCCCAGTAAGCGGGGCGCCCTGTGTGTTCTTTCAAGAAGCTACAGCTTCATGCGGGTGGCTGGCTGGGAGGCCCTGCAGCCACAGACCCCATGGGCGAGGTCACGGTAGCAGCACATTAATATTAGCGCTGCAAGACCTCTGAATCCCTTGTGGCTTGCTCTTGAGGGGCAATCGTTAGTAACACATTGGTGGAGTGGAGGGCAAATCGTGGGGACTGGTGGGCATGGTCACCCAGGCCCTCGAATGGTCGGACCGTGGCCTGGGCGGGGCTTCTCAATGAAGGTACAGCTGATGGTATGGCTGATGGATAACCGAATGAATGTTGTGCACAGGGACGTATTGGTGAAGTAATAGGTAATGGGAGTGGCACATTACTATGCAAATCGACAGAAATTGCTTGGGGCCCGTTCCATACGTTGACTGACTAAATCCTTCGTTGGATAGTTCATTGTTGGGGCATGTCTGCTTCGCTTGTATACTGGGGCGACTTCCTGGTGCCAGCCAGTACTAGTTTTCGAAGGGCCTTACCCGCGGGTCCAGAGCAGTAGGGGCCCTCATGGTCGGTCTTGTGGATGATTTTATCACTATGAACTTATTTCAGAATACAGGACTGACTCTCTGTTTCCTGCTTGAGCTATATATGGAAGGGGCAAACCACTGTAACTTGTGCGTGTTTCTGCTAAGTTTTCCGCACTGTTGCATTCTCAAAGCCATTCTTTCGTAAAACCGTCATAAGAATGCTTGAGACTGGCATAAGATCATTCTCAGCAGCACCAGCATTCTCAAGCCGTTCTTAGCATTCTTAGTGTTCTCAGGAACATTCTTTAGCATGCTTCCATTTTGGTAGGGAACTAACGCGTGCAGTGTCTATGTATGCAGGCCACGCATCTGAGGAGGAGGAAGAGGAGGAGGAGGAGAACACCAAGGCCAACGAGAAGGAGGTCAAGGCCAAAGCTGTCGAAGATGATGATGAGGGCAGCCCACCCGTTGAAAACATCCAGCCGGAGGCAGCCCCCGACAATGGCACAGAGCCTGGACCCAGCGGGGACAACAGGGACGCTGGGGCTGGGGCTGCTCTGCCAGCTGTTCACCAGGGCATGTGGCAGGCCCTGCTGGACGACAATGACAAAGAGCTGCAACACTACACAGCTGCTGACGGGCACCTTGCATACCTGCAAGAATGTGACCTCGTGGGGAAGACCAAGGGCTGCTTCCTTGTTGGAGCATGTAAGAAGAAGGACATCAAGCCCGAGGCTTTGGGGGCTGGATTACTATTGGGCGACCTGGTAAGCTTACACGCTGTCTGACAGGCGGTCTGCTGTGTGTCTGTATGTGTTTGTACCCTAACAAAGAACTTCCGTCTGCATGCTTGTAACTGCCGCCTGGCCTCTTACCCCCTATGAACATACAGGATGACGAGACCGCTGACGGCTGCACTGATCTCCTGGTGATTGGCCGCGCCATGGCAGTCATCAAGGACCTTGGCACTGTGCACATTCCCCCGACTGGCCAGTCCTTTGCACTAAACGACCGGCCACTCCGCCTCTTCCAGAAGGTAAATCAAGGTTGAGCTGTGATAGCACGTCTGCATCACATGTGTTGACTTTGTTCTGGTTGCTTCTGTCTGCAGGTGCGATGGCCCATTGTGGGATTGCTCGCAGTCAAGGGCAAGATGACCGCAGTCCAGTGGGCCATGAGGACCACTGGGCTGAGCAAGAAGCAGTTGGATGCGGTGGACTTGGAGTGATACACGCCCTGTTAGGAACCACCTTAGGTGTGGGAAGTGTAGGCGGTGTGTGGGGCTGTACTTGGCTATTGGGCTGTCCTGTCCATGCGCCTTGTTGCGAGCCCCTCAGCATAGGCCTTGTGATCGCGTTCAGGGATCCATCATAACACTCATTCATTTGGTATGCTGCAGTACCATATGCAGTTCCAGCATGGATTGAGCGTGTGATTGTAGATATGTTGTAGGTATAAGTGCTGGCATGGTGGACCTGGACCTCATATGTGTGTCTGCCCGAATGGGAAAGTGGTCTGCTGTGAGAATCGGGCTCTAGTGAGATGGTGGCCCTAGGTTTTTGTTGGGCATACCTCTGTTTGAAGGCGCCCTTAAGAACGGTTTAAGAATGCTGGGGGACGGAATGCTTGAGAACACTGTAACAACGCTTGAGAACGCTGCAAGAATACTTGAGAATCCTGTGAGAACGCTTGAGAATGCTGTAAGAACGCTTAAGAATGGTGAGAGAACAGTGTAAGAACGGTGTAAGAACGCTTAAGAATGGTGAGAGAACGCTGTAAGAACGCTGTAAGAACGCTTAAGAATGGTGAGAGAACGGTGTAAGAACGCTTGAGAACACTGTAAGAACGCTTAAGAATGGTGAGAGAACGGTGTAAGAACGCTTGAGAACGCTTTAAGAACGCTTAAGAATGGTGAGAGAACGGTGTAAGAACGCTTGAGAGTGGTGAAAGATTGCTTAAGAATGCGTGAGAAAATGGTTTGAGAATGTCCTTGAGAACGGGTAAGATCGCTGAGAACGCTTGAGATTCCCTGCAAAGAGCGCTCTCTTGAGATTGCTTAAGAACGCTTGAGAAGGCACAATCTTAAAACATGGCAGATAAGAGCGTTCTCAGAACGCTCTTAGGGTGTGTTCACATGTAGTCCAATGGAGAGTCTGATTGGGAGTCCGATTCGGGGCGGCTTTCTGAATTGTGTTCACATACGATTCGCTGCACGGCAACTGGAATCGCGGCTACGCCCCATCACCCAAGGCAAGCCAGCATTATCTAGGAACAGAACAGTATAAGTATCGTTTCTATGGCGAAATTTATCACCAGGCTTGTACATACATAGCTGCAGGAGTTCGTGAAAAATGCTCGGTGCGCTTTGCGTGAATTAACAATTGGAAAATGTTCCTATAGTATTGTAATGGTAATTATGAGAAGCGGTTTGTTAAACAACTTTGATTTGAGAAAGAAAACTGTGAATCACGTCGAATCATACCCGAAGAGGCCCCCCCGGACCCCAATTCCGATTCGGGTCCAATCAGGTCCAATTCAGAGTCCAATTCGCATGAATCAACCCTGATTCGCCCACATGTGAACACGTCCTTAACAGCGGCATCAACTTGTGCTTTATATGGCTTAAGATCGCGTTGAGAGCGCTCTTAAAGCGGTTTCATTTTGGTAGGGCTGGCAAGTATACAGCATAGCCTAAACAAGGTCAGGTATAGGCTGTCATGTAAACAGCATCACATATTACGTGATGCCTATAGCGGTCTTGTAATAGGCACTCGTGTACACACGCACCTGTATAGGCACCAGGGTTCGACACCCCGTACGGGGCCCGTAAGTTTTTGGCCTTTTTTCGGTATCCCCGTACGGGCCCGTAGGACTTTACAGTGGCCCCCGTAAGGATTTTGCAGCGTGAAGCGCCCCCGTACTGGGCCGCCCCCGGACCAGCCGAAGGCCGGTTACGGGGGCCCCCGTAAGGATTTTAAGGATTTATAAGAGGCCTTACGGTACATATTCCCATGCTTAAGCTGCCGAGCATGCTTCTCATGCTAACGGCGGCTGGGCTTCCGGGCATCCACTTCAAGTACAACCAGTACCGCTATTTCGTCATGGCTATGCGCGTTCTGAGCGAAGTCATCCTTGCCGCCCAGCTTGTTCGAATCCGTGAAAGCCCATTCTTTAGTATTATTTCAGATAGCAGTACGGACGTATCGGGTGAAGATCATGTTGAGGAGCAGAAGGGATGGGCGGCCGCGGCGGCCAAGGCGCTTGGCTTTCACTGAGTGTGCCGTGTCCCCGAGTGTAATGGTTCACGAGAAAATAACGAAAATAACGATTTACAGGGCAAAAAAATGCAAAGCGTCACTTTCCACAGCGTTTCAGCCAAGGACAGTGCCCCCGTAAAGGTTTTGTGGGGGTTACGGGGGCCCCCGTAAGGTTTTCGGCCGGTATAGGAGCCTGGTACGGGGGCGCCTCCGTTAGGAAAATTTGGGAGGTACGGAGGAGCCCGCAAGTTTCAGGAAGGTCAGTGTCGAACCCTGATAGGCACTGTTGTTTACAACATCACGTGTATACCTATCTGTATACCTGGGGAAGGCAGGGTCTGCCGGGTGGCAGCCGCAGGATGAAAAGATATGACCCCCTCTGTCCCACCCATCATACATGCTGCGGCTGCGGAAAACATCCGAAAACAGTCTTTCCTACCAGCGCCCGAAACATTTTTGGAATGAGCGAAATAACGCTGAGTGCCCAGCAGCTGAAGAAATCGGTTTGCCGACTTCTGGTGGCCAAAGGGTGCCCTTCTGTCACTGCACAGCGCTATAATTCTCTCGTACACAGCGCTTAAATGCGTCGCTCCCTCCTCCTAGTTCTCTGTTGTGTGCTTAGCTGTCTACATCTATCAGCGGCAATAGCCACTGAGAGGGCTAAGGCTTGCGGGGCGCTGCCGTATCCCCACCGTTCTCCTGAACGACACGGGAGTAGTGTCTGAAGCGCCATATGAAGGCGGCGGTAACTGTTTCGCGCTGCAAGAAGTGCTGCTGCTTCTGCTGCTACTGCTGCGGCTGGTACTACTACTGCTGCTGCTGCTGCGACTGCTGCGGCTGCTATACAGCAGGCCGGTGTGCCGCACCAGTAGACATTGCGCACTTTTGCCAAATCAGCAAAACTTTTGCAAAATGGATCTCCGCCTCGTAATCCCATCGCCGTTTCTTTCGTGGAACCTTTACTCCAGCGGACGAACAACCTCGAGCTCGCAGCTGCAGGGGAGATTTGCGGTTGTATCCGGCTCTTCTCCTACGAACCATGAAGCAGCGCAAAGTCGCTTGCGTCATTCAGAGGGTTGCGAAGGGGGTCCAATCCCCCAATCCTGAGGGTGGGTACTGGTAAGCCATCCTCCCATCCTGGCAGGGCAACCGTCCCCCATCGCCTATCTTAAGGGCCGGTGCTAATTCCATCCCTCCGACAGGGTTCCCATCCTCATCCTACAGCTGGAACCCCCAATCCCATCCTGCCAGCCAGGGTCCCATCCCCATCCCTTCAATCAGGATGATTCCCATCCTGCAGATGTGTTCAGACCCGAAAGCTGTCAGCCAAGGTCCCATCCCCATCCCTTGAGCTGGTGCCACAAGTTGTGGCCCACAACCCTCATCCTGAGATGCCAGCTGCAAGCCTAACACAGGTGTTGTAAACTTAATCCTGTAACGTGTCTCATCCTTCTTGAGTCGGGTGTAACTCTTAACCAAACTGGGCTGGCCAGAAAGCATGAAAAGCGAAGTCCTATACATTACACACATAGAGCACCCGTGAAATTTCGCAGGAGGATTGCACACATAGGGAGCTGCCGTCTGTGTTCGTTCCGATGCAGACTGAAGCGACAAACGCTCTTTGAAGCGGATCTCAGGCGAGGGAGGCTGCTTGGGAACTCCCAGCACAGAAGTCAAGGTATCTGTTTGCACACTGGCTATTAATGCACATAGCGCATCCTAACGGATGAAGCAGAGTTATGTTGGATGGTTGGCCACAACAACAAATCATGATGGTGTGGTTAGTATGGCAGAACAAACACGGGTGTTCTGTCAAAATGTCCATGGTTGGGAACGCGGGCTCAGGCTGATGATAAAGGAAGGGGTGAGCCGATGGTTCACTATCAGCACAGCTGGTCAGCTGCACAGTCGGGCACCAATATTTCACGTCGGATATGCCAAAGCGCTATGACAAACAGTCTGATAAGCCAGGCGTTAACTTCGACGCTGCGCTCCTGAAAAGCATGAAGACTTGCATGCAGATCTGGTAATTCTAGAGTTACCAAGGTGGTCTGTTACAAATGGGGGAAACCTGGCTATAGATCTGGGGTTCCTCAATGTTGCATCGGAAAAAGGGCCCTAATAATAGCGCACTTTGCAGTTTGCCCCCACTCTCAGTGTCACAGCTCCGAGCTACTACTAATAGTATGCCAGCTCCACTTGCTTGTGTCATGCTGGCAGCTATCCGCCGCCAGCGGTTAATTACTACCGGGATCTTCTACCCAAACCCAGTTTCCCTGCGCTTTTGCCTCTCGTACGCCGAGCTGATCTCGGGCCCTCCTCCAAAAGGCCAGTACATAGTTTTACCTCCGTGCCATAATATGCACTTCACCATCAGCCAGCTAGACCGGTAAGAAAAGCAAGGCCCCGCCTCATTCGTTCAGGGAACCATTCATGCAGTAGAGCTTCCGTACAGTGCCGTACCCATCACCGGAATGCACGTTTATATCACGTACCAGGCCTTCAATCCGATTGGCCGACTGCGGTTCCTGTCAAGGTGTCTGTCGAGTCGGCCGAGTCAGGTCGGTGGTTAAAAGGTGCACAAAAGTACCCCTCACATGCCTCCAACGATTGTCCACGTCTGTCGCTCCGACAATTACGGCCTCTACGGCCGTACTTCCCGGAAGCATCTGCAAGCTGCCGAGTTATTTAACTGGAGAGAGCAAAAGCAGCCGCCGGCGAAAGGGTCTAGAAGGAGGAGACACAAACCCCGCACTGGACTGCTCAACTACCAGCTTAGCCACTATATACGATGATGCATGACATCCTCCGCGTCCCCTTCCCCTTTCTTTTTGCACCCCGTGCTCGCCCCGCGGTTCTCATTAACACACAACCAAGTCATCCCCAGCTGCAAGACTCTGTAACAATGTTCCAAAACTAATACGTTTATACATAAAATAGGACGTGTAAAACGACCACAGGGAAAAAGAGAGGAATAGTCCTGCCTACCGGTGAGTGGTCTCTAGAAGAATCTTCTGCATGGTCTATAGCTATAGACCAGATATCTTTTATTTGACCAGATCTGGTCAAATAAAAGAACTTCCAAATTTTCTGGAGGTAAAGACGGATCGGGAAACCTCAAAAAAGCAAACCCCTTATCTCGCTGCATCTCATTTCGTCCTCTGTGTAGTTGTACTGTTCCTAAGAGCTCCAGGAACCCGCATCCATGTAATGCATCCTGACATGTACTGTGCTGGTTTCGAACACGGTCACTTAATAAAAAAACATTCGATATTATCACAGCATATGTCGTGCAGCAGAGCCTGTCATCATCGCCGTCGCCGTGGGCGCCCCCGGCCGCGTAGGCGACCCAGAAGGCTGGCTGATCACCCCCGCCGCCGTCGCCACACCCTTGCGGCTGCTCATAAAGCTACTGCCTGGCCGTTCCTGAACCGTCGACAGCTCCGCAACCTGTACGGCAGTATACGTCATGTAACCGAGTCCGTACGTCGTTTTTTGTATGCATATATTTTTTGTATGCTGACCAGGAACTAAGTTGATGTGCCGTTGATCCGCTAGATTTGGTTGGATGCTGGTGGTGAGTTGCCGAACCCAACGAATACATTCTGAAGTCGGATGGGGTGACGGATTAGGGTGCCCCTCTCGCAGGGGAGAGCAGGGACTGCCCCGGGAAAGGGGCCGCTGGCGAAGTTAACCACCCTGTAACAACATACATATACGGACGCGTATGCAGGCGTGTATGTACAAAGCGCTCGTGAATGGTTTGCGTGTGTGTATTAGGTGTCCCCGAGTAAATATGTCACACCTCGGGGGTGATGTTCCTCTTTCCTTCCAAAGTAAAGCCTGACACACACTCACACACAACATGTAACGTACCGCCCCACTATCCCGCTGCGGCCAATAGTAGAGAGCCCTTCTCCAGTCGCTGACAGCAATAAAGCCCCTCGAGAGGTGATGTCAAGAGTGCTACAGCGCGTATACATAAACCACCCCAAGTAGTACAAGCCGTACTGTACGACAGCTACTGCTCTGCACAGTTATTAATGATGCAGAAGATTCCCATGATGCCCTTCCCTTTTCATACTCCCCCCCGCCCCTTGCCGCCACCCCATACCTTGAGCAAGTGCGCCACGCCGATCCTCCCAGAAGCGCCGTACACCCGGGAGCCGCTGCCGCCGCCGCCACCACCGGCCTCCCGCTGCTGCGTCGCCAACATCAGCCGCCGATGCCGTGCTGCTTCAAACTCCGACAGCCACAACGCCGTCGGCACCTCCGTGTCACTCGAATGATCGTCGCTGCTGCTGGCGCTGCTAACATCCACATCCTCGTCCTCATCCTCACGTCCGCCCTCCTCATCGCTGTTAACCGCAATGCTATTCTGAAACCCTGATGATGCAAACGCGGAGCCCGTGCTGCGCGTCGGCTCCTTCAAGGCGGCATGGCCTTCGGCGCCCGCCGACGATGGATCGTCGCCGCCGCCGCCGCCACCGCCGTCGGGCCCCGCCATGCGCGTTTTCGACATCATCCTCTTGACAGATATTCGCCGCTCCAACCGAGCCGCAATGGAAGCGCTGCACACCAACGCGATCTCCGGCGGCGCGCTATCGGGTCGCAGCAGCATGCGGCCGCTAGTGGTGTGGCCGATGGCAGGGGTGGCAGTGGGGGCGCCGCCACTGCTGCCACCTGCGGTGGCAGCGGCGGCGGCGGCTGTCGCCGCCGCCGCCGCCGCCGCTGCCGCGGCGGCGGAGCCGCCGGTGCCGCTAAAGGCAGCTGGCCCTGCCGCAATGGACTTGGCCGAGCCGAGGGACGCGGTGATCGTCCTCGCGTGGGGGAGTGAGGCCCGGCCTGCCAGCGCCTCCAATGCCGCCGCCGCCGCGCCGCCACTGCCGCCTCCTCGGATTGGGCTCGAGTCGCTGCTGGCGGTTGGCTGTACTCCGTTGGTCGACGTGTTGCCGTACGCTGCCGGATCGGAGCGCGGGATGATACGCGAAGCTTCCATGATCCACGTGTCTCGTTCCTGGCAGTTATGGGCAGAGTTGGAGACAGTTAAGGGCAGTTAGAGACAGTTGGGGACAGTTACGGGCAGTTAAAGACAGTTTGGGACAGTTACGGGCAGTTGGAGACAGTTAGAGGCAGTTGGGAACAGTTATGGCCAGTTGGGGACAGTTAGCCGGTCAACGTATCCTCCAAAGACCGAAGGGGGGAAGGGAGGCTCCTAAGCGGAAGCCGGACATGACATATACTGCCACAGCCAGCAAGAGCTGTTCTGCGAGTGCCCCTGCACTCACAAATCCTTCCTTCCACATCCCCAATACAAACCCTAGCGAGATACTGGTGAGCTCCACTAAGTCCCCAAGAGCCGATTCAAGCCCCAAACTGGGAGTGTTGATGCTTAACTCCTCAGCCCTCCCTCCAATGTCCTCAGTCCTCGTCCGTCTCCAGCTCCCGAAATCGGGCCCCCCCTGGCTACACGCCTCCGCGGCCACCCCTATGCCCAGCTCCATCCCTTCTGCCCCTCCCCGGCCCCGTCTCTCACATCCAGAGGCGACTGCTCCCGCTCCGCCCAAGTGCTCTGGTCCTGCGAACTCAGCGGTTTTGAGAAACATTATAAAAAGAGGCGGCCCGTGTCGGTGTCAAGGTGCGAGTAGCAGCGAAGGAAAACCTTTTTTTGTATCATCATGTGTAAAATGATGACATGAACATGTGCGTACGTGTGAGTACGGGAAAGGTGATTCCTGAGGCCAAAACGTCCGAGCGCGGAGGGTCGGAATGGGAAGAGAGATAGAGAGAGGCCGCAGCGGTGAAGCTGGTGGTGGGCCGTACACGTAAATGAGTGGTATTTCCCATGCCTTCCTGCTCAACTAACAATGCCCTCCCTAATGCCCTCCCTAATGCCCTCCCTAATGCCCTCCCTAATGCCCTCCCGCAATGGCCGCGAGTCGGCACGCACTTCCCCACCTTCCTCCCTCCCTCGCCTTCCCTCCTTCCCTCCCTCCCCCGGTGCTAGCGCCCGGGCCCCCTCCCACCCCCCTGCCTCCACTACTACTCACATCCACGGTCCAGGTGTTTTGCCCAAAGGTACCCACACGCACGCCCCGCTCCGTCCACAAGGATACCGTACAGTCGGCGGAGCTGCTAACCAGAAA